GGGTCAACCCACCACAGTAACATACAGGAGTTGTGTTACTATTTCTAGCCACACAAAGAAGCAAAACTGATAATTCAAAAACTTTTTCATTTCTTAAAAGGTTTTATTCTGAAGTTTCAGCCCCTTAACTGACTAAAATGAAGTATCAATTAAAAGCCACTGATTAAGTCATAGTAGAATAAAGTGAGATACACTGTTCAGCCTTTCCTGGCTGCTTACTGTAGTACCGAGTAGAAATCATTTATAGAAATCCGATCTCTGGATTTAGCCCTGTTTTCAAATAAGCATTACAACGTATATACCCCATAATTATGGTGACTTACAACAGCATGCACCTCCATATGAAATTAAAAGAAGCACTATACTTACTGCTTCCATTTTAGTAGCTATAATGGAAATAAAACATTTTCAGTCTCCTCAGTTTAGGAACACAGCTGTAGCTATGATGGTTACCTTGTTATCTAAAGGTAAGTTTCACACAAATTTAACCTGCATTAAGCCACCTTCCATAATGCTTTGATAGTAGGAGCACTTTTACATAATAGAGTTCATCAGTAAAGCAAAATAAATTGCGCCTAAGAGCAAAACATTGGCAACATAGTCTGGCATTCAGCATAGAAGCATATAGTGAAAGTCAAAGTCAACATTACATAGATTTGCTATGCCATACAGCAGCGACACTCATGTGAATGCTAGTAGTATTGTTACAGACTATAAATGTGAATTTGAAGAACAAGTCACAAGTACACCCACATTTTGTAATACTTACAGCTTCCAGTTCTTTAATGTCTTCCTCCAGTTGTTTATTTTGTTCACTCATGTTCATAATAAGATTGGACACAGATTGCCTGGGATGCATACTTCGATCAAACTGATGGTACATATTTCTCCAAAACCTGTATAAAGCAGACAGCTTTAACTACACGAAGACAAAACTGAAGAAGAGATACTGTACATAATTTAACTTACTTAAAATTGAATGATACTGTGTTAGGCTCCAAAAGAGTTAGTTCTGGAGAAAAGTCTGGATTATACAGAGGATTCTGATATTTCTTTCGTTCACCCAGAAGAAATGGCCACAAGGAATAGGTCTTCTCTTTTAATCTTAAAGCAAGAAAAGATCAAGGTCAAGACATTGACTGCAAGCAAAAACCAGAAGCTGTTCAACTCAGCATAATAAAAATCTTAACTTTTTTAAAAAGTTACCAGAATTATTTACAAATCTTGAATTAAAGCTCTTAGTAAAATCAACTTCTTCCTGTTATACGCTAATGTGGGAGAGAACTGTCAGTTTTAGAAGTACTAGTGCTTATGCCGTGCAAGATTTGCCTGGTTGCAATAAATGCTTTTAAAATACTGTTTGAGCACAGATGAATTGACAAAAACTTCACAGAAGTTTTCCAACTGAAAACATTAGGAGACATCCTATTAATACTTCTAACTGACAGTAATTAGCATTGAGCAGGCAGGAATTTTAAGGTTACCTAAAAATAGATTGGAAGTATCACTTCATTCTGTGCCCCAAACTTAAGCTTACCTATTTTTAGGAAAGGAAAAAAATTAAGGATAAAAGAAGCTTTAACTTTCACTGTGAAAAGTGAGCACGGCATTTTCTCCTAGAATTAGAAAGACTTCCTTCAGTGTGCAAAAGCACGAGAAGCGCTGTTGACCCCTGATGCAGCTCGACATCATTTTCAGTACTACCGATCCTGTGTCTATTTCTATTCAGAGCCTAAAATGAAGATGACTCACAGGAGTCCTTAGTCTGCCAGAATACACAAAAGACACATTACAATATCTACTTACTTTAGTTCTTCTCGCTCTTTTTGGCAGTTTCCAAGGAAGTTACCAAACTGGCACGAATGGACATGTTCATGGATTTGAAGGAGGAAAGCTTCATTGTACTCAAAGGCTTGTGGAAACTGCTCGGTCAGATTCCACACGCTTTCTAAAAACTGGGTGAACACTGGTGAGATCTCTTTTGGATCACCATCCAACTGACAACACCTGGAAAAGATTCCATAAATAGACTGAAACAGTTTAAATTAGAAGTCAAGAAGAGTCTTAGTAGCACTTGTTTTTAAGTAACAGCACATTAATTTGAACTAGCTTTGCTTTGGAGATTAAATACCTAATTTTGAGAAGTAGGGCAATTTTTTAGTAGAAATAAGTCTATATTTAACCTATTTTTCTGACTTGTAAGTAATCACACATCTGTGTTCAGTACAGAAGAGCAACATAAGACAGTTAAGTTCCTTTGTATCAATTACTTCCATAGTCAACATTAGGCATATACCAGCTAAAAGCACATTTAAGCAGTAAATAGCAGCAAGACTATTGTCATAGCTGATGATAGGCAAATCAAGGGAAAAACAGAACTCTGAGCATACAGGACTTCAAAAAGGTAGGTATGACTTAAATGTGAACCCATTTTTAATGTTTATTTTTAATGATAAAGATATCAAAACTAAGTGGTTTATGTAGCCTAAATAGCTGAGATAGCTTTTGGTTTTGCACTATCTGTGCATACGTGCAGACCTAGCTGTAGTCATTGACATCTGAGAATGAGGCACCAGTAGCACTAGAAATTTACATCCATAATATAAATCAATTATCCAATAGGTATTTGAATAAATAACAATACACAAAATGCACTGTCTACTGAAAATAGCTTATTCACTGCAAAATTTGTAGGAACACTGCAGTAGTTTAACATCTACAAGTTGTCTTTTGTTTTTAAGAATACTTAGTTCAGTTCACTGCATGCGTTTTACTGTACTGGAAGAGGTAACTACCTGTCAGAGAACTTGTGCCCAAAAGAGATCCAGTCTTTCTCTATCAAGACCTAGAGGGTAAAAAACCAACAAGATCTCAAATAAAGCGTTACTCAATCTTACATCTACAGTATTAACCCCACAGGTAATCAATATATTGTATTTTAAATTTGAGTCAAACTACAGTAGGAGCAACTATTTGTCACTTTGTAGTTCCTTTATTTCCTTGGAACTCTTCCACAAGAGATTCTCAAAGCACATTTTTCAAACTAGTAAAAAAGTTTAGCAAGTTGACAATCACATAACTGCTGTTAAACCAGGCTCACTTTAAGCATACTAATGTTGCTTGACTTCACAAGCAGGTTATAAACCAACTAGCAAAAAAATGTGAAGTATAGTAA